TAACAAACACATCTGCCAATGTCTTTTATTGAACCATTAGCTGGCAATGCACCCTACTTTGTATTTACTGTCTATCTACTTTAGTATTTACTGTATAGTTTTACGATTTTTATTGTTTCTAATTATAAATATCTCAGCGAGCATCCCCCCCCCCCCTTAAAACGAAAAGCACCATTGTAATCCTGCGGGGGCGTCAAATGCCGTCAAAACATTACACAAACCAAAACAATAATATATTTACTCACCGCTTGGCCAAACATTCTGTATTTCATATCGAGAAAAAAATTTGAATATCTTCTAAACTCTTCACAATTTGTTCAGAGTCAATGTGAATAAAATACGTCTTGTATTCAAGCGCTTTCATGTACAAAGTTTCGTTTGAATACGGCACAGAGTAGAAATATTTATTTTGAATTTTTTAAAATATCGGGTTTTCACTCCCACGCACGCGCCACGTTGATGCTTGACCATATTTTATAGCCCGATCGATAGTGTGAAATAGTGTAGAAATAGTGTTTTGGATTCTGGTTCCAATTATACTATTACGAAAAAGATATGTCCAAACGGGCCGAAGTTTATATGTTCGGTGAAATGTATGGCTAGTTTACATTTACATTGTTCCTTATATTATGAAATATGATACCATACCTTACTTGTATTAAAATTCGCGTCGAACTAATGTTATTGTATTGTAATATAAAGCAAATGAGAACCATACAATAAATGTTTTAGTCCTTGTTGGTATTTTGAACGCACCGCTTTATCTTTACTGTAGCGCACAGAAGCTCTTCTCGCGGATTATATTTCGCGCAGTACTAAAATTTGCGCACCCAGCGCTACACGAATTCTAGTACTGCGCGAATTTTAATACATGTATGTAAGATATATTGTCGACATTTGGCTAAAACTATCGTAAGGAATTAGGAGATTTTGTTCAATTAAAACTACGTTGTGTAGTCAAATTGTCAACCTTAACTTGTCCTTGTTCATATTCCAATATATTGTATAAATTTGCTGGGTCCAAATTTTGGGGTTTTCGAGTCGTTTAATACAAAAAGAAAAACATTAATTCAATCACAGATTCAACACGTAAGAAAGTCCAGAGTGCGACACAAAAATGAACACAAGTACACAACGGATGTTTATGAGTCTACAACGTATATTTATAGTTGTTTATTAAAGTCAAACTGTAGGGAGATAGGGACTCAGGAGGTCTGAAACTGGTAATTGTGCGCGTGCGTACAAGTGTATGCGCTAGTATGTACAATCTTTCTAGCACGGATTCAAATATGTAAGGTAGATCAAACAATGTCCAAGACAAGAACAGTTAAATGTGGAATACCCCAAGGTTCTAATCTTGGGCCACTTCTTTTCTTATTATATATAAACGACCTGCCAAACTGCCTGACCTCATCTTCAGCAAGCATGTTTGCCGTTGACACAAATGTTTCAACCAATGGCAAAACAAATGACGAACTACAAGAACGCATTAACGTGGACTTAGAAAATATACACCAGTGGTTACTTGCAAACAAACTTACACTTAACAAAGATAAAACTGAATACATGATTATTGGTTCAAGACAACGAATTTCAAACTTAGTACTAACGGACCCTAAAATTGAGCTTGGTGAATCAGTCATTAAACGGGTTCACAAATCAAAAACTTTAGCCGCGTAATTATTGATGAACATCTTTTATGGGATCATCAAATCCAAAATATTGTCACAAAAGCTTCAAAAGGAATAGGAATGATGCGACGAATAAAACAGTTTGTTCCCAAATCAACCTTAGTAAAAATATATAATGCCATTGTGCTATCACATTGTGATTATTGTAGCTTGGTTTGGGATAACTGTTGTGATTACTTAAAAAACAGACTTCAGAAATTACAAAACAGAGCGGCCCGAATCATCACTGGTAAAACTTATGAAGTTAGTTCTGAGGATGTTTTAAAAGAATTAGACTGGCAACCTTTAAACCAACGCTATAAAACCAATAAATCGATTTTTATGCACAGAATACGAAACGAAAAAATGCCATCATCAATTTGCAACATGTTCAAAATTAAAATAAATGACAGATATGATTTAAGAAGTAACAATAACAACTATGATCTTGGAAAACCTGAAACAAATTTTATGAAAAAGAGTTTCAGTTATTCAGCTGCATCCCTTTGGAATGACTTATCAACTACAGCAAAAGAAAAAGGCATTAGCCTTAACAAATTTAAACGTATTCTTGACGGCACTTGATTCCTTTTGGTAACTTTGTAAATATTTAAATAGGATAGGATATTTTTAGATACAAATGTAGTGCATGCAATTATTTAAGGCCGGTTTACACGACAAGCGTTTTGGGCACGGCACCCCTGAAAATGGGCACCGTGCCAAAACCGCCACTTCGCTATTTACTCGTTTACACGACAACATTTTGTAAACACACTTTTATGATAGGCACCGTGCCCATCGGAAAACGGCACCTCTACTTTCCGTTTACGACAGTATATTTTAAAGAATAAATATGTCGGACAGAAATAGAATTATATATTTATATTTATTGGAACGAAGAAGAGTATTATATGAGCCGAAAATCGAGGGAAAAAACCAATTCAATACTAGAAAAGTACTTTAAAGCTCATATGGGCAAAAGTTATCCCGGTTAGCGATCGGGGTTAGCGGAAAGTTATCTCGGTTAGCGGTTCGACAAGTTTACAAACGAGATCTTGCCTTGGTATGAAAATAATATGAAAAGTTACACTGCGTTCATATGAGACAAAACGTTTTCCCGTGTACCGAGATCTCGCTTGTTGACAAGCCAAATCTCGGTGACCGGAATAATGTTTTTCCCATATGCATGAACACAACTTTACCGCTTAGCGGGATACTGACTTTCTGTCGTATCAGCATCTTTTCAATTCAATTGATATTCAGTGCGTGCCCATCGGAAAACGGCACCTCTATTTTCCGTTTACGATGGTATATTTTAAAGAATAAATATGCCGGCCAGAAATAGAATTATATATTTATATTTATTGGAACGAAGAAGAATATTATATGAGCCGAAAATCGAGGGAAAAACCAAATAATTCAATACTAGGAACGTACTTCAAGGGCCAGTTCATATGGGCAAAAGTTATCCTGGTTAGTGAAAAAACTTTTCGAAAAGTTTACAAGCGAGATCTCGCCTTGGTATGAAAATAATATGAAAAGTTTGTTTACACTGCGTTCATATAAGACAAAACGTTTTCCCGTGTATGTACCGAGATCTCGCTTGTCAAGTGATAATGTACGTTTTTCCCATATGAACACAACTCTACAGTAGTTCCCGCTTGGTAGGATAGCTTTCTGTCGTGTCAGTACTGACTTTTCAATTCAATTGATATTCAGTGCTATGTCACAGCCGGAAACTTTACCCGGTAAGCGGAATAACATTTCTCCATGCATGTGGACAGAACAAAAGTATATTTGGCTAGTCGAAAAGTTTTCTCGTCAACCGAAATAACCTTTGCCCATATGAACAGGCCCTTTAAGACGAAAGGAGTTGTTTTCTCGTATAAATGTTGTGCCATCTTGTATTCACCCGCCACGAATTCGAGAGGTATGGACGCATCGAACGACAGCTATTTGCTACGACCTAGTTACTGCTCTCTTCAGCGACGAACAGTGGTATCAAAATTTCCGAGTCAACTAGAGCAACATTCACATTCTGTGTTATTTAAATTTGTTTTTAACCTTGTTTTTTTTTATATTTGGCAAATTGTAGTTTTTCGCCGCTTGCTGCCATGTTGGAAAGAAGACAATTTGTTTTGCGCATGCTCGATGTCGAACACATTTTTTATTTTTTTCGAAATTTGGGCACGGCACCCCTTGCTAGACGTGCCGAGACTACCTCGTGAGAAAGTCTCGGCACGTTTAAATTTTGCGGCACCGGTGCCGATTATTGTCACGTTTACACGCCAAAAGGCAGAGGTGCCGTGCCTAAAATTTTCGGCACGGGTGCCCATTTTTAGGGGTGCCGTGCCCAAAACACTGGTCGTGTAAACCGGCCTTAAGTTCGTTATGTTTTCTCTGTTTTGTGTGTATATTTGTGTTATTATATTTATATAGCTTGTAAATACTGTAATAAACGGCCTCTTGAAAAACAGGTGCCTACGAGCCCTGAAGAGCTACCGTTTTAAAATATTTTTAAATAATAATAATAATAATAATAATAATGTACCACAAGCATGGCATGAGCCGGCTACTACGTACATAGATACGAGCTTGTTACGATGAAAAGTAAATCAAGCAGTCGAGGAATCGATGGCATTTGAACCGATGGCATTTTGACTTAATCATTGCACCTTGAGCCTGCGATGCGCTAACGCAAACTCCATTTCTCGACGAAAAAAACAGAAAAAGGGGGATTTAAGACACTTGACCTTTCAGGTCAGTGTAACAAGGCATCCAACGTCTAAACATGTCTTTTGGCGAGTCTTCTGAGAGTGAAAATCCGTCTACATCTGAATTACTGAATGACGGAAAGCAATCACAAGGCACAACGAAAGCTTGCGCTGGGGCAAGTTCAACCGACAAGAAGCCAGCTCAACAGTCGGTGGCTGTAGAAGACGCACTTGTACTGGCCAATGCCATTGGGAAACTGAAGATCAAGTCAAGTGAACTATTCGAGTTGGCTAAAAATCCTTTGAAAAGGCCGGCGAAGAAGCAACACGAGTATTTCATAACGCAGCGCTGAGTACGGAAGAGAGAATTTTAGCGAGTAAAGTACGCATCGCAAGCGGAATACTGGAACATTTGGACCGCCCGGAAGTCGCGGCAACGGACTGTTTACAGTACGTACGAGAATTGCATGATATGCCAGCTATAAAGGAAATATTTTCAGTGCACGTTGGAACAGGAATAAAATCATGGTTCAAATCAGGTTTCAAGAAAAACTCACGAGCGGAAATCGTGGAAACCGTAACGATGATCAATTTGATCTTGGCTGATTTTACCTCGAAGTTTACAAAGCGAAGAATGGCTGTTTTTGATTGGCCAATGATAGAATGTGGTAAACGAGTTGTCCATCCAATTCATTTCAAGAACGAGAGTGCACCAAATGTGAAAGAAATGCAAATAACACCACCTTGGGACACTGTAGTATCTGACAATGATATGTTAACCGGTGCATCAAACGAAGGCATCAGTGTTCAAAAAACACTTGTGTTAACCACAGAAGGAGATCTCATTTATTTTACAGATGACAGACGTAGTGTTCAAAAACTCGACACAACGACAGGTAAGCTGCAGCCGTACTGTCTTTCTCCTTTGGAAGACAACACTGAACATTCTCAGCCCAGCGGTGTATTCATTGGTATAGCTATCGATGATAACGACACCGTGTACGTTCTGTCGCGTGACGACAAAGATGGAATTGAAAGTGAATTGAATTATATAATTACTGTGTACATCATTGACTAGATTTATCAATAAGTCAGAAAATTCACGATGATTTATTGCATTTCTCACTTACTGCGTTTCAGGCAAAACAATACCCCACCCTTCTTGATTTGCCCCCTCTCCCCTCCTCGAACACCCTAAACATGACTGCACTAAAAAAGCTTGATACAGGGTTTATCGTATATTTAAATAACCATATGCTGTCTGTCGAAGAAAGTGACCTATTCTATATACTCATCACACTGTAAATTGAAAATAGTCAAAATGAAATTTGACCCCAGAACGACTCTTTTGAGTTCATTTTGACTCTTTTGAAATTACAATGTATATAAGCCCTCTGACAGGAATCGACAACTGGACTCTGTAGCTCAGTTGATTAGAACGTGCTGCACCTGAATCGCAGGGCAGTATAGGTTGCATTAGTCGCAGCTGCACCCCTATAGTTAGGTCGAAATAGATGTATATAAATTTCACACTCGAAATTTTCATAAAAAAATTCCCTCAACATTAGTTCAATCTAGTGAGATGCCCAAAAATCCGGATTTTATAATAAGGCCGGTCTACACATGTAATTTTTGTCGCGATTTTCTCCTTCTGATGGATGTGAACGAGCATACCTGTAGATTTTATTTTTGTGGAGGTAGCCAATCTTCAAATGGAGCTAGCTATAGGTTACGCTACATTCTCGTACCCAGAGCACGTCTTACAAGCGGTCAAGACTCAACAGAGCATGAAGAGGGTCGAGGTGTACGGGAATGGTTTGCGTCGCAACTGCAGATTTACGCCCGTATTCTAAAAGCTCACTCACACTCAATTAGTGGAGGTTCAATCTGAGCTTCTCTCGAGTGTCAATGTTGTTTTTGAATAGCTGGAGGGCGAGTAGTCACATAGTAAGGTACAACACGAACCCTCCTCCAGCTATTCGAAAACAGCATTGACACTCAAGGGAAGCTCAAATTGAACCTCCACTCATTGAGTGTGAGTGAGCTTTTAGAATACAGACGTTAGCCTCTGAATGAGAACAAAATGCCAAGTGTGCCACTAGGGGCTTCCATAGAAAAATTCAAAACTCAAGGCTTAGATACCTAGCTTTTTCATGATTTTTGGAGAAATATACCTAGCTCCAAATGATTTTTGCAGTTAGCCAGTAACTCCACAATTCATATTTCAACTCAGTTAGTTTTGAATTATACAAGTTACTCAAGTGTATATATTTTGGTTTGGAGTTAGCCCTTTAGACTTTGGAGGTAGCGTCGCTCCATTGCTTCCTACTTTCTGCAGCCATGCGAACGAGTGGAAGAATTTTGAATGTTGAGACGAGGGTACATACAGTATACTCAGAACATTCATACTCATCTATACTCTTTCACATACATCGGAAGACAAAAATCGCACCTAAAATCGCAGGAAAAATTGCAAGTGTAAACAGGCCTATAGTGGCGTGTTGAAAAATATACAACAATCAAGTACTTTCTTTTTTTTCACGATTAATTATTCACATTTGCCATAACTTCTTCTGCAAAGCATATACTATGCAAAATATAACTACGGAGAAAGTAGTTGACTTTTGAAGCTTGAGTTTTTCTTACCGTAAGATACTGGTAGTAGAAAAGTACTTGACTGTATATTAAATCCCTGACAGACATGGAACAGTTATGTACGGCTATAAAAAAAGTCACCTGGCTAAAGCTTTTTCCACAGATTGTTTGTCTTTGAAAACAACATATCCATTCATATTGTCCCGATTCGGATTAAATGACTTTCTGTAAATCGGAGAAGGAGTATTAATTGCTGATACAGCTGTAGGCAAGAAAAGTACATCAAAATTCCGTTCAAAATCTGTAAATAAAACAAGAATTACATGCAGTAAATAATTTACTGCATGTAAATACAGTACTTTATAGCTGCCACTTTCTTAGATGTCTTTAGGTCTGGCACTGCCTTGAAAAAAAAGTAGTCATTTTTTAAGAGGAACTCCTATTACTATTTCATGAAGGAAACCAACAGCATATATCGTCTTGATCCATGCCACGTTAATAAACGCCCATAAATTAACTCAACAAAAAAAACCTGTTTGAGAAGTACAGTTGTATATACTGCAACAAACTCGAAAGCTGTCTATTACCGGTGTATAAAGGTGGATTTCCACTTACAAATAAATATTTCGCTTGATTTCTTTTGAATTCTGACCATCCCAATAAATCAGTTCTACTAATTCAAAAGAACTTGAGCGAAAAATTTCGACAGCGAAATTTTCCTTGCAAGTGAATATCCACCTTAAAACACTTCCAAAGTATGTGGAAAAAATCGGCTAGAGCCTCGTTTTCAAAACCCGTTTCGGTATTTTATACGCCGGTAATAAACGCTTTCTCGTTTACGTAACGGCTTACAAAACACGAAATCCTATCAACTATTTACATTTTAATGATCAAATGGAAAATATTGAGTGAAATAAAGAACAGGCTGTTATAAATACTTACGACAGATCTCAGTCTTGCACTTTCTATTTCTCCATACTTTTTGAAAAACTTCTTCAAATCCTGACAAATTAAATTTACGACTGAATCAGAAAGGTTAATTTAAAGAATTTTGAACTGTCTGTGCCAGTGTAGGTAGTGTGTCAATAGTATAAACAAGCTTTCGTTGGTCGGGATGCAACTACCTGAAAAATACAAGGAGAATTTCGACGTTTCGAGCGAAGGCACTTCCTCTGGAGTAAGTAACCTACATACGCCTTTGTCTACTTAGGGAAGCCTCACATATCGTCATATGTTCGTTTCTCTGGAGACCCCCCCCCACCCCACCCCCCTTAGAAACGTCACACATAGTCATCGATATTTTGTTCAATATAGTATTAGTACACACAAGGTAATTTTCTACTATTTTCTACGGTCGGCTATTGGCGATGCTTCCGCGAGGAATATGTCATCTTCTGCTGACATATATCTTTCTTTATTAAAATATATAAACTTCAAAATTTCCAGCGTTTTTCAAAACAACTTGCATGAAATATTGATAATTTTAGCGCGTTTTTCTTTGCAAGTGTTTTCAATGCAAGGAAGGCGTAATAATATAAATGTATACATATAGAACAGGTATGGTACTACGAATGTATAGACTGGTGTTTGTATCAAGTTGTTAGCTTTTTTATACTCTGCAAAGATGATTCCGAAATGTTAAGGCTTTCGAAAAAACTATCGAATTTTTCGATGATGTTTACAGAGAAACGTCACAGCTGCAACCCTCCACGAACATATGACGTTTCTCGTGGAAAAATCGATATGTGAGGCTTCCCTTACTCCAGACGAAGGAGCTTCGCTCGAAACACCGAAATTCTCCTTATGTTTTTCAGGTAATTGCATTCCTATCAACGAAAGCTTGTTTAATTTATAGAATGATTGTTGAAGTCATTGCTTTTGAATTTCGCGTTTATGTTCTTTTTTTACATTCTTTCCTGACAAAGAATACGAGCTGAACACTTATCTGTTTTATAAGAGGTTTTTTTTGCCGAACACTTGTAAACTCATTTATTTCCATGCAACGGCCATATACAGTATATTTGAGTTTTTAAATATTAGACACGAAAATCCGGAAATATTTTGAAGCTCAGGTTTTTACTAACGTAACCATCAAAATCTAAAATAATTTCAAAATTTTGAAAAATACAGTCGACAAACGGAGTAACATTTTAAAGTTTAAAGTGTTTATGCAACGAAATTTCACACCATTTTTTTATGATAGCATTCTAAAGAAAATTCAAAATGACTAATAAAGATACTTTGCCCTACTTTGCATAATGGATTTCGGAGAAAAAAACTGTTGACATATCATATGTACACGATCTTATGATTACAATGCACAATATCGGGATATCACCGAAGATCTTGAAGTTTTTCAGAAAGTCATTGTTCAATGTCACGTCATAGTGAGGATAATAGATTATTCCAGTTATCGACTAATTTTTTAACCAAACAAGAAGAACAAAATCTATCATTAAGGCCAAATAAAAAAAATACTTGGTTAGCGTCACACTCTCACAAATTTTCAGAGGCGGGCGGGCGAATTTTTTTTTTAATTTTTACTCGTTTTTTAATTTTTTAATAGTATTTTTGGAGGGGATGGGGGGCGGTTTTTCCACCATATCGGTGATATTTTTTGTACTGATGTTGCGAAGGCCGCCATTTTGCGTTAAGAACCTTGTATACCCAAGCCTACGCGCTCCTATCGATCAGTATATAGCGCGAAGGTCTGAGCATGAGAAAAATTTCAAATATTAAACTGTTTTAAGCTGTAAAACGAAGAGATTTACATAAAAAAAAATAAAAAAAAATTCAGAGGCGGCAGAAAATCGAGAGGCGGGCGGTGACGCTAACCAAGTATTTTTTTTTATTTGGCCTAAAGCTCAAAAGAGCATCCTAAAATTAGTAAAATTGCAAAGTTTGGTTGCAAAATGTTGTAAAATGCGGTGAATATAGCCTTGTGGAATTAGCAAATTTTGAGTATTTTAGTATTAGGCTACGCGCTGTAAAATGCACCACTTTCGAGCCGAAAGTGAAAAAATGGTGAAATTTCATAGCAACAGCAATATGTGATATACAAGAACGTCTCTTCTAGTAAATATTTATAAATTTACTTTGTACTGCTTAAATCTATATATGAAACCTACAGTCCACATGGTAAGTCATTTTTTGTATTTTTCATGCATGTATGGACAAAAAAACACAATTGTTTCCATGTTTCTTTTTTGAGTTTTATCACCTTTCTTGTCATTGACAGAGGAAGATTTCCAACAAATATTGTTCTAGCAAGTCTCTCAGAATCATCATCACATGATTTATTCTTTGGTGTTTTGCTCATCTTTCTTGTCTGCTTATTTTCATCCTCGTTATCTATTACATTAATTATTATATTGTAAATTATTTTTAATTAAATTGTTATTTGCATTGTGCTGAAAGTTATACTTTGACTTACATATGTTACAAACTTACATGTGTATCACAATTATTACTGAATTGTATGCTTATTACTTGCATGCAATATACAACAATTTATTATGACACATAATAGTGGCAATTTTCTAAATTTTCAACACCAAAATCTAGGATTTTGAATAGCAATAATAATCAACTCCAATACCTTGTATTTGATATGCTAATTATGGCAGTTGTCATGATACTGAATAGCGAAATGGCTACAGACATTGTCAGACAAGGTAAAATGGTTTATCTAATCTGTGAAAGAGTACTATCTCTTCTGAAAGCATAATCTACTCTGAAATGTAAGCATAAACATCACTGTCATAACTAGCATAAAGGCCCACACAGACCGGACACGATTTGGCAACGTGACACAAATTTTCAATTTTCAATGACATTTAACTTTAATATTTTTCAGTGTTTTTCAAATATTCGGGACCACTTAAGCAACTTTAGCTATTTGGTCTGCATATCTTGTAAAAATTTTTACCTGTTCACAGTTATTTGTTTTTGAAAACTGAAAATTTGCGTTGTGTTGCCGAATCGCGTCCGGTCTGTGTGGGCCTTAACAATGTCAAAACTCTATCTCCTGGTGCAGTCATCAGAGCAAACACCTTGAAACCACCTCTGAAATCATGCATTCAATTCTTGTTTCTTTGTCAATGCTCCGGCTAAAGTTGTTGGTTTTCTCAGGGCATTCCAGTTTCCTCCGACAGGGAGTGATCAGTGATGCAGCTAGGGGGCACAGTAAGGCCTATATGTCAAGAATAGTCCTGTATATCCTCCATCCCACTGTGTATGGTTCTGCCAGGATTTCTAGTCAAGGGGAGCTGAAAAATCCCAATAGGGGCCCAAACAATTTCAACCTACGCTAGTTTGAAAAAAGTTTGTTTATTATATGAACTCCCATGTTATCCAATGCATAATATAGTACAGGGAAATTTTAGGGGGGGGGGGGTTAAAATTTTTAAATTCTAGGGATTTTCAGCATTTAGTGATTTTAAATAGCTATTTAACACATAAAAACTCTACTTTCTACTGTAATTTCTATTAATACAAGAAATAAAAATATAAGGCACATGCTTGTACTGGTCAGAATTTTCCCAAGGGGGCCCAATATATTTAATACTTCGCCACAACCCCCACCCCCTCCCCGCCCCTCTGGCTACGTCACAGCCAACAGGGAAAGTTAACAGGGTGGGTTAGGATAAACATAATTTGACAAACCTGCAGCTGCATCAGGAACATTTTGCTTAGCCACATTATCTTCACTTTTGATCTTCTTCTACAGTATATTTTAAAAAGTCGAGTTAAAAATTATATATGATTGTGATGCTTTTAAACACGACAAAATTTGTGACAACCCGCCAAGGCCCAATATTCAAATAAAGCTGTAAATACCAGTAATGTAAATCAGTGAATACATTGTAAAAGTGATGTAAACTTCAATGTCCGGAAACTGGGCAACATACTGTTTTTGCAATATTTTGTTAATATTTACCTTCTTTTTAACCGGAATAAACGTAGGCTGTGCAACCTCACCACTATCGAAAAGGAAGCTACTATCTCTCTTCTTTTTCTTTCCTTCTTTCTCGCTCTTGGCGGAGAGAGAAGCAGAAATCAGCCCAACTTTATAACCTCCAAGAAATGTAGCTTCAGCCGCCATATTGGAAACCGCGTGTTGGAGAAAACTGAAACTAGCAACTCTCACTAACAAATATATGAAGTATTGGGGGTGAAATCCAATATGGCCGACGAAAAAATCGTTTTTGTGACGGTAGGGACAACAAGTTTCGATCGTCTTGTTGAAACTTTAACAAGCAAGCCTGTTTTGAACGTGCTCGAACGTTTAGGGTACACTAAGCTAGTAGTTCAAATAGGAAGAGGGAAGTTCCAACCAGAATCTTTCGAGAAAAAGGGCTTTGCTTTGGAATTTTATCGTTACAAAGAGTCGCTGAGAGATGACATGAGTAAAGCATCGTTAATTATTAGCCACGCAGGTATTAATGATCATAAAAAGTGTTTACATATAGATAGGCTACACCTGGTCATTCTGACAGATAGGTACAATCATTTTTATACTAAAACTGTCTGCACCAGTGTTGGTAGTACCAATGTGAAAATGCTGTGCTGAGTGGTTATATTACTACCTTAAAAAATAAGCAGAAACTCGACGTTTCGAGCGAAGGCCCTTCGTCAAGAGTTAGTAGTGTCTACTAACTCTTGACGAAGGGCCTTCGCTCGAAACGTTGAGTTTCTGCTTATTTTTTACGAAGTGACTATATGACCGGCAGCCGGTCACGGTTTATCAAATACTAAATGGCCGGCAGTCTAGTGACTATTGTTAAAGTTGAATTTTTATAAGATAAACCTATCCCCAACCCCAAACCCTTTTGTAACCCTAACCCTAACCTTTTGAGAGTTAGAAAAGCCGGAAAAAAGGTTTAAAAAATTATAAGAAAAAACAATGCTAAGTCAGACAAAACACATCCCGACCCCGACTTCGTTTAACTTTTCGCACACAGCGCCCTTGCCGTATGAGCTAATGGCAAGCTCGGTAAAAGTCAACACAAACAAAAGTCTTTATATTCAACTATAGTCACTAGAATGCCGGCCATTTAGTATTTTTTAAGGTAGTAATATAACCACTCAGCACAACAATCATTTTTGGCTGTGACAAAAATCGCCCTGCCAACGATGTCATTTTTATATCAAACAAAACGGGATATTTTGGAAAAGTGGAACGTGTTGAAAAAGTGGAATATGTTGAAAAAGTGGAACATGTTGAAAAAGTGGAATATGTTGAAAAAGTGGAATATGTTGAAATTGTGGCAGGGCCGTTGCGAAGGGGTATGGATTGGGGGGGGGTGTCGAAGGTCAAATTGCCGAGTGACGCTAGTTGAATTTGCCGAGTTTTTCAAACGTTTCTAAAGTTTAGATATAGGTAATGAGAACCATATTGGTGTGCTAGTAATAAGGGACACCAATATGGCTCTTGTTTTGAAATGGACGCTTGTTCGTGGGTTGTTGCTACAAAGCAATCAGGTTTCTTTGTATATAAAATATGACATTCTAAGAACAAACATATATAAGGTCACACAATCGTCAATCGAAGCACACAATTTCAAAATAACTGAAACCACAGCTCAATATGAACCTACCCTAATAACGGCACACTATTTTATTTTCGTGCGTTTGTTTTCAAATAGGAGGACTATTATTTTAATTTATTTATATTAAACATATAAAGCTGAAACAAAATTAACGTAGCGGTTTATATTGTATTTTAAATAAATCCTAAATCGAGACTGACGGCCCGTATTCTATAAAAGCTCACTCACACTCACACTCAATGAGTGGAAGTTCAATATGAGCTTCTCTTGAGTGTCAATGCTGTTTTTGAATAGCTGGAGGGTGAGTAGTCACATAGTAAGGTATGACACTGGCCCTCTAGCTATTCAAAAACAGCAATGGGACTCGAGAGAAGCTCAGATTGAACCTCCACTCATTGACTGTGAGTGTGAGTGAGCTTTTGGAATACGGACGTATGTCTATGTGCATGCACACGGTAACGGTTTTGAGCGTTTTTGCAGTGGGGATTTCAAATTTAGCTAGCGTTTAGGCGCTGTTCACACGATAACAAAGTGCCAAAAGGACCAAACGTTTCAGACATAGAAAACGAATCTTTAGCATCGTTTCCACTATTTGAAACGTTTTGGCTTCCGGACGTCGTTTTCATACGTCTTCGTGTAAACAGAACGTGAAAATGGTACTTTCAGTTTCAGAAAGTATTACAACCAAAAAGGCAAAAACGCTCGGAAACGTTACCGTGTGTGCATAGTTTGAGTAACGAGTGTCTTAGACTGTGGTGCAGACGCGCATCTCCGCAAAGTTATCCGAGTATCTGCATGTGATTGCATGCATTGATATTTTGTTTCAATTTTTTTCATGGCAATTTGATGGATTTGACCTTTTCTATCCCCCAGGCGCCGAATAGACAATTTATAATTTTTTTGTATTTCGAGCAGTCTTAAAACACTCTTAGTGGTGGATAGTGGGCTTTTGTACGACCCGATTTTCCAAGCGTTTAAATTTTATGCGTCAGAAAACAAGTAAAACGGATATACAACCGATGATACCGATCGCTGTATATGCGGTATGTCTTTCAAAACTGTAGGCTGATCAGAGTTAACAGTAATTTTGCTAAAGAACTAAAGAAGACAAGTCCGTTCTTACGACATGGTTCGTCTTTCTCTAATTCTCTTGGTCTTCTTCTCTTGTGCTCGTGGAGTCTTCTTGAGCATATTGCGCCTCTGACGACTCAAAAATCAAAATACTCTCTTTGGCTTTGACTGCGCTTTGCAGCCTCAAACGGATTAACCGTACCCGTCTTTGTGTGCTACTCGCACAGTCGCACTCGCTTTCCCTTATGGCAAGTTTGATCGTGCCGCTTGCGGCAATCGTCGTCAAAAATCGAATTAGATTCAAGACACTGAAGTTTTATTCTGTTTTATTTGTGTTTTGAACAGCGCATAATTGATAAAGAGCCATTGCTATAAGAGTAATGGAGCGAAGAACATGCCCGAGGATTAGGAACTGTTGATGTGTTAGTCGGAAAACATGGGTTTCACATTTCAGCCTCCCGTCGATTTTCAACAAATAAAAGACTAATACTATTACATTACTAGATATACATTTAGATGGTTTTGGCATAAGGCCACACAAACCATTATTTTAAATCCAAAATTTATCGCTTTAACCAACGCCTTCGTTCTCAACTTTTACAATTTGCTAAATGCCGATTTCGCGATTTGCCGAACCGTAGCGAAGCAATTTGCCGACTGGGCCGACTTGCGAAAATTATTGGGGGGGGTGAAGCACCCCCCCACACCCCCCCGCTCGCGACGGCCCTGAATTGTGGAATATGTTGAAAAAGTGTAAAATAACAATTACTAGAGTGCATTGATATCAAAGGAACTAGACTCGAGATCTGTTCCGAAATATCACATACTCGAATCGACCTGACCGCGTAGCTCAGTTGGAGGAGCATTGGGCACTAGTATTCCAAAGGTTGTAGGTTCGATTCCCACCATGGCCAGGCATATTTTTCAAGCTTGCCCGTTGTGGATACACACTCAAGAGTAACATCAGAGACATTATATTCACCTGAGTACATAACACCAACACAGAAAAAATTATATTACAGATCTAAGAGTTCTTAACTACAAAAGTTAAAATCCATTGGCAATGGACCTTTCACCTTTTGACTAAAATTTAGATTTCAACAAGTCTAGACAAAAATTTTATCACACCTTGAAAGAGCATCACAAAATTAGTAATATTCCAAAGTTTCGTTGCGAAATGTTGTAAAATGCGGATAATATAGCCTTGCGAAGTTTGCCATTTTCAGTCATTTTGTATTACAAACGGGAAATACATACCCTTTTTCCGAAGGAGGTATGTATTTCCCGCGCGTAATACAAATTGACTGAAAATGGCAAACTTCGCAAGGCTATATTATCCGCATTTTACAACATTTCGCAACGAAACTTTGGAATATTACTAATTTTGTGATGCTCTTTCAAGGTGTGATAAAATTTTTGTCTAGACTTGTTGAGATCTAAATTTTAGTCAAAAGGTGAAAGGTCCATTAAAGTTAAAATCCATTATAAATAGTTAACACAACTCGTATTAACTATTTATAATAAATATCAAGATTTTTTGCTCATCTCACTCAATAGAACTAATTTTGAATGGTTTTTGTAGATGGAAATTTTTGAGTGGAAGATTATTACCTTTTTTTCAGTAGCAGAGCTCTGTGAAAAGGCACCTCAGACCTGCAGGCCTGGTTAGGCCTGAAAAGTGTATATCAAGCCTGCAGCCCTGGTTAGGCCTGAAAAGTGTATATAATCTCAGCTGAAAATTTCCCTATACAAACACCCTTCAACTATTTATAATAAAAAACTGACCAATGTTTTATATTATCTGTCTTTTCCAAGGTGCTGGCTGTATAACAGAATCGCTTTTGCTGCACAAACAACTGATTGTAGTTGTGAATGAAAAACTCATGGACAACCATCAATTTGAACTTGCAAAACAGTTAGCGATGGACGAACATTTGGTGTATTGCATTTGTGATGACTTGAAAGATGTCCTTGAACAGAAAGACCTTTCGTCTCTGAAGAGATTTTTGCCTGGACAGCCTAAACTATTTGGAAAATTTCTTGATGATTTTTTGGGCGTAAAAAGTGCAGAATAATATTTACTAGAAATGTATGTGCCCTTGTCAAGTCATAGGCGTACAAGTGAAAAAATCAATGTTGGGCAAAAATGTCGATGGAAATTGCCTGACATTTAAAGAGGTCATCTCAAAATTTCGACACCCTTCCCTATAACTTCATTCCCTTTGGGAGTTTAGAATGCATTGTAATCGTACAAGCATCTTAAAACTGCATAACTAAATTGTACATGGAAATTCTAATTGAATGTTAAGAACCTTTTCTAACATGTCAGCAATATATACCACTGTAGACTTTCGCTGGTAACACCAATATGGCTATCATTGACTTTGCTGCACTATCCAGTTCTAGAAGAAAGAACTACGTACTGATAACTGATTGTGGGGCAGATTGGTGAAAATTATAAAACAATTTTATTGTGCATTTAAAAAAACCGTACTACCCGCTATGTTCTTCACATAGTGTTTTTTGCGATCTCTCTGACGATATGGGTGATATTTTTTTATAAGAGTACTTTAATAGGTAAATGGTAAGAAAAACAAAATGTTGTGGCAACCAGGAGCTAATCCTTGTAATGGCCCTATAACAAAAAATATGAACAGAAACAATTAAGTGGTTAATTTCAAGATCTTGGGATATCGTGAATCGAAATCATAAAAACAATGCATATGTGTACATGTTATGTCAACCTACTACAAATATATGTCATATGCAGACACATTTGAATCAATTACAAGAGGCAATTTTTTTCAATGTCACGTATATGCAATGAAAAGTGTTCAAAACCTAAAATCTTTTTGGCGTTCCTCTCAAAATGACTTTGTTTTAGCTTTATTCTCTAGTTTATAGAGTTAGCTACCTTTTTAAATGCATCTGCCGGTTGAGAAACATAAAATAATAGACGTTAAAAATTGTCAATTAAAATACAAATATCAGTGATGCTTTAAAATTGACGCCATATTTACAGCTATATAAGCAAAACTTACTTCGGACATCATTTTCTCTTTGGTGTATCATCTAAAATCTCTTCATTTTGGCATTATTTTACAGATAAAGCACTAAACATACTTTTTAAGTTTGTTTGCCGATTGAGAAACGTATCGAAAAATAAAATTTTTGAATGTAGTCATAACCTCAAGTGGATATATTATACGCATTAGTTTTGAGCGCGTGTTACGTAACATACAAAAAAATCTCTTAGGGGCCGATTACATAGAGCATTTTCAACCCCGGGGCTGAACTCAGCCCTGTTTACCGGGTTGAAATTTCAGCCCTGTCTGTAATACAAAACTCTATCAAAATCAAACGCGCGATTGCATGACAAAATTTTCAACCCACGGCTGAGTTCGACCCACGGCTGAGTTCGACCCCGGGGTTGAACTCAGCCCTGGGTTGAAAATTTTGTCATGTTATCGTTTCAACCCAGGGCTGAAATTATCATGAGTTATTCGAGCATACGTGGTAGTGACTATTTATTACAAGAAAACAAAATAAAGGGTTTTTTTACTTCCGCAAATCGATGCCGAGAACGTATAGTATTACACTATTACGTTTCAACCCCGGGGTTGAAATCGTCCATGTAATCGCAAAAAATTTCAACTCGGTTAACAGGGCTGAGTTCAACCCCGGGGTTGAAAATGCTCCATGTAATCGGCCCCTAAATTATCTATAAGAGCCATAAAAGTTTTTTTTCAGAAAGCCATTATGCAATCTGACGTCAGAGTGAGGTCAGTTTGCATATACAGCTAATTCAAAACCTTAAACTCTAAGCGTGCAAAGCATAACGGGAGCATCATTTAATCAGTTTAGAAAGCATATACGAGGCCCATTTCTTAGAGACCTGGGGCCGGTTGTTCAAAGGTGGGTTAGCGCTAACCCTGGGTTAAAATTTAACATGCTGTTTTAGTTTGTGTATTTCTACACGTCTGTTTATTTCAAAACTTCAGAGAAGTAAACTCCTATCGATCCAGACAAGATCT